TCCTCTATATGATACTATAAGCGCCTACAGGAAATTAGACAACACATACGGAAGTTAATAAAGCGGATAACGGGAACGCGGAGCAAGCAGGAGAATCGGGTAATGGAATGGAATCGGGAATGGGAAAATGCAAAATGCATGGGAACAATGCAAAGAATTGGAAGAAGCTGCTTCTTAGAGGTTGCAACCTCAAACCTTTTACAGTGTTAAAAATTGAAACGAAAACAAATAGTGGTAGTTAAGAGATAAATTGAATAGAAAGAATACTTGCATGTATAACGGCCCACTTCAACAAGAATGTGGCACGTAACACTGATCACAGTTCGCAGGGTTCTGGTTCAGCTCTCAGCATGGTTTAGTATTTCGCTGTTTTCCTGATTCTCTGTATTTCTGGTGGTTCACAAGGAACAACCAGCTAGGCTCAACAACAACAAAAAGAACAGATAAAAGATTCATGCGAGGTATCGAATTATTATTTTGCTTTAGTTGACATTTCTTGGTGAAGGATAGTGCTTGGAAAAAAAACCGCGTGAACAAGGCCTGCTCGAAGATTAGAGCAACTGTCAAAGTGCTAGCTTTCTGATAGCTTATCTTAATCTCTCTGCGCCTATTTTTGAGTGAAGATATTGCGTAAGCCGAATCTTTACTGTAGTTTAACACGTCTAAATTTTCACAATCCTGTTTCAACTTTTGGTCTCACTGCCTGTTTTTTTTTCTCTTCTTCTTCTTTTCGTTTAGTCTAGCCCTTGGTCTAAACAGTTTGAGTTTTCAGTTTCGCCTCCAAAACAAGGGAGACTGCAATATCTCTGTCAATTTAATTCCATCCAAAGGGGTCTTCAAAGTTAACATAAACGTTTTACGGGGTCATTGTATTTATGATACACTTCTCTCTCAACTCTTCACGTAACTGACAATTCATCTTTCTTTTCATGGTTTTCCTGGCATTCCACGATCAAATGGCTTGCCGGGAATGCCAGGCATTCCAGGACCGCAAGGACCTCAGGGATGGGAAGGTCCAAAAGGGCAGATCGGTGATAGGGGATCACAAGGAATGCCGGGTCTAAGGGGAGACAGGGGGCGCGAAGGGCCTCCTGGGAAGAGCGATGAACCTGGACGTGTGGGAATGAAAGGAGAACGAGGCATTGTGGGAAATAATAATTGAATACTATTTAATTATTATTTCCCACATTGGAAACAATGTGTGTAGAAATCAGACAGCGTTACTGATAACGGAAAGATTAAGATAAACTGGAAATTAAAAACACGCTTTATGCGGACTCTCGTGAGTGAGGTAGATGATCTCAATCGGTAGAATGAGGTTGAAAATTCAAAATTTTGTTGAGATAAAAGCAATTTAACAGCAATGAGGTTATTAATCTCCTCCTCCTCTCAGCCTTCATTCCAGTTAAAGGCATCAATTTCCTGCGTTATTCAGCATTACTAGAGTTGCAGCCTTATAAATCTTTTTCTTTTTTTTTTCTTTCCAGGACTGTGCTTTTAAATAGTTGAAGTCGGATACAGCGCTTAAAGTCTCATTTCACGGAACCATGAGGGTTCATGGCGAATTCAAATTTAATGGGAACGAATGCAGTGGAACAATGACGATTGAAGCTGCTGTTTACAACAACTGGTCATCTGGGAACCCTAATCTGCATCATCATCGGTCATTTGAGGGGTACTGTGAAAACATCCTACAAGGTGCAGTTAGAGTGGAATGATGGTTAGGACAGTGTAGTGGCTACACACAGGGTGATGCTCACACCGGATGGGAGTCGGTGTCCCGGGTAATGACAGAAGAAGTATCTAGGAACCAGTCCTAATAAGGGCGTCTTGGCTTCCAAAAGAAATTAACAGTTTGTCCTTCCAAGTAATTTTTTCTTGTTTTCTTGTTGTTGTTTTTTTATTATTTTTTTGTTGTTTTTGTGCGCGGAATGAATGTTGTGTGCGTGTGTGTTAAGAAATCATATACAAATATAGAAAAATATGACGCGTGTGGAGGCAATTCATTTCAGCGTAAGCATCGCCGGCTCAAGAGTACGTATCAGTATATCTCTTGTTTTGTTATTCACTCTGTTTTCTATCCTTGCATAGAGCAGAGCTCATACTAATAACTTAAACATTTGAACAACAGAAAAGAACCAAAACAGATCAACCTTCAAGGGATGTAAAACTTAAAAACCGATTACCTCAAAATCATGATCAAAGAAAACAATCTAAAGGCCTTGGCAAGGCTTGCTGGCGCTGAATGAAAATTCTAATTTAATACTTAACACCACCGACCTTGCAGAAGTAGATACACTCTAAACATTTAAGTGAGGTCATCTTGAATTGTTGGCATGTTAAAAAGAGAACAAAATCGAACAAAGTATACCTATAATAAATAAAAACGAAGCAACAACTATCTTGCATGTAACATTGTATCAAGGTCTTAAAATTCTCTTTTGTTTAAATTACGCATTTTTTTAGTCATATGATCAGAACAAACAAAACGTGCGTGCCCATGGGTCAGTGGGAAAATTATCTGATGGTGTTAAGATTAAAAATAGAAACCACAACTATGTTTTGGGCTTGTTTAGCTGGAGCTTGACCAAATTTTCAGTTGACTACTCACACGTACTGATTATCCACTTAAAAGGGCCGGATATTATTTAATAGGTGGCTGCATTAAATATTTAGTTGTTCGAGAAAGAAATAGGAACAAGGACCAAATTAGTAACGACAATTATTAGTGCCATAAAAAAAATGCAAATAAGAAGTTAAACAATATTCGCTATCCAATAAACGAGCACAAAGCACGGATCACAAAACACCGCTGCAGCATTTCGCTTTTCCGTCGATGTATATTTTTCTGCGAATTCGCTGGGAACAGCCAACTAACCTCAAATATCTTTTACTCTCGATCAAATGTGATTAACTTAACTGAAAGTAGGGGTGACCTGTTTCTGCTAAACACTATAAACAGTAACCTTAGAACAACACAAAGCTTCCAATTCTTAATTTCTTTTATGTTTTAATAACTCCACTTCAAATTGAAAAGGGAAAAATATTTATCTAAGGGGTTTCTTCGAACTTTTATCTGACGCGTACTTTGAATAAAATGACTCGAAGATACAATAAAATAAGTAAACCAAGAAAATGATAAGTAACACAGAACAGATTCTTCGAATAAATGCGTTCTTTTGTCAGAACCATCCTATGAAACCAGCGATCCAGAACTGATCTCAAATTCTTGAATGCGAACAGGTAAAACTGCTTTACTCTTTGCTGCCTCAAGCGGCTACTTCATAGTAGATGGAAAAGTTGCAAAGATGGAGGAGAGAATATCGATCAACAATTTTATTAGAGAATAAGCCTTGTAGAGGGAAATTGCTATAAACACGCGATGAACAAAAGCTAAAAACAATTGTCCTACTTCCTGTATTGTACTTTGGATACCCTGGACGATAACAATCTTTTCTCTAATTGTTATTTTTATTATTTATTATTATTATTATTATTATTATTTTTTATCCACATTAAACATTAAAAATAGATGCACTGACCAGGAATCAAACCCGGGCTTCCCGCGTGGCACCATTGCCCTATTAAAAACTGCCTGGTTGCCTTTAAAGATGCATTGTGGTTAAATTTTTGTGGTGAAAAGAGAAAAGGAAAAGGAAAACAACACAAAACAAAGCAAACACACACAAAACAAACAAACAATCAAGCAAAAAAGGCAAGGTAGAAAAAGGTATACAAGTAATCCAGGAGTAAGCGTGCTAACCTCTTCAGGGAGGCCTTGGTGCGATGGCGGGCTATCAAATCTTTACCTATGGACTTTCCACTTTAAATTCACTTTCCTCTTTATAAAAAAAGAAAAGTGCAAGAGATTCACGCATATTTAAATGGTAATAAGAAAGAAGGAAGCCTCGTTGGAGTGGATTATTGATCAACAAAAAAAAGTACCAAACCAACTAGCCAGCGAGAAAATAGAAAAACTATTAGTATTCCTTTTCTAGATAAACTGTAAAAACGTTTGGCTAGAGCTTATATTTTTCAAATTTCTACTCATCGTTTACTTTCCTGGATGCGGTGAAATTCTTTCCATTGTGTTATATTAAAAAACGTACAGAAAGAAAGAAAAAAATCTGGAATTCTGTTTCTTAGTTTAAAATAAATTATCATTAGTATTGCCTCGATCAGAGATGGATTTATAGTTGCTCCATGCTACTCTTTGAGTATCTTTTACTAGCAGGCCACTTTGCTGGTCCTTATTATCTCGGTATTTAAAAAAAAAGGAACAACAGCCAAGTTTGAGCTTGTTTAGAAACACGACCTACGTACTGAGCAGGGGAAACTATGAGGAGGTCACGACTTGATATTTTTGACATGCTAGCAAAAAGAAACTTCATGTAAAAGCAACAATAAACGGTAGCTATCAGCGCTATCAAAATTTTGATGCCCTTGTAAATAACTTACTAAACCCTGCTTGCGTACACGTTAACGTAAAAACAAAAAACACATTTCACTTTAACTTTGAAAATATTTGAATTCAAGAAACGAGAATGGTAGTGATAGTGGACAGTAGATGCGGAATAACGGTTCTGTCCATATCATAATGAGGTATTTATGCCGCACCGTAGTAGTAATTTGGGGAGCACTCATTTAAGTTACATCAGAGATGGTACTGGAGTGTTGGGCATTATTTGGCCACTTGTCTGAGTGGCAGTTTAATTGACTGTCAAACAAAGACGCGTTAGATAACAGCGATAATTCTGAACAATTTGTTATTTTTAGCAATGGTGGGGCTAGAAATTCGCGCAATTGCAAAACTATATTATAAACGTACAAAAGGTCTCCCGACAGATGGCAAAGGAGGACGCTGGGGAGAGAAATATTTTTTGCTCCGAGATGTAATCGCCGTGGTGAAAGCAGGAGCGAGCGAACGCGGGAATGTTTCCATATGTACGCTCCCTTAATAGAGCGATGAAAATGATTACCTCTTGAAAGGGAGGTTAGGTTAACACGAGTCGGATGACCAACTATGCAGCGAGACAACCCCTGAAGACCGTCTGAAAGACATACTATGGTATCGACATAAATAACATTATGCCTTGGCATAGCGTTTGATTTTAACTGGTTTTGTTGTTACTTATCCGTTTTCTCTCCTTGCTAAGAGTTCATCACTTATGATAAATGCTTAGCAACAGAATCTTCAAAGAATGTGAACTTTGTCAGGTTGGAACTTGCGTGGCTGGCGCTGAATCAAAATTGTGATTTAATAATGAGCACTAACCATCTAGAAGTGGGTGCTTTCAAGAGGTTGCAACCCTAAATTTTTTGCGGGTTAGAACCAAAAAAGAAAACAGGGTATTATCAAAGAAAATAAGGCAACAAATATCGTGCACATAACAAATTAAAGTTACTTCAATTGGCTAAAATTATGCATTTGTTTCAGTACGAAGTCCAAGTTCTCAAACGTGCAAACGTATAATGAGATCGAGTAAAAAGGTTACTGCAAAATAAAAATCGAACTCAAACGAAACGTGCACAGGTAAATGATATGGTGGCTAAAAGATACGAGGTAAATGATATGGTGATTTAAATATAGTATAGATAAATATATAAAAATTGAAACTCTACCTGCACGTATAATGATTCACTTTGAAAGGGAGAGCTTGTTCGAGAAGGAAAACAAACAAATATTTCTACCAAAAAAGGAAATAAAATAAAGAGGTAACCAGCACCATTAAAACAGGAAGAAAACAAATTTTTGTTATTTAACCGATGGGCTCGTAGCACTGATTTCAGTAATCGCAGTGTTCAGGTTGCGCTCTAATGATGGTTCAGTATTTCGCTGTTTTCTTGGTTTTCTCTTTCTCTAGCGGTTCACTGGGAACAACCACCTCACCTCAGCAGCAAAACACCGCAAAGTTAAAAGATTTATGCGAGGTATGAAACAATTATTCTGTTTTAGCTGACATTTTTGGGTCTCCGGCAGTGGGTGGACAAGAAAATCGTATCAAAAAGGTCTGCAACGGAGTTTGTATTGGCACAATGA